GAAAGAGTATAATTTTTTATGATAAAATAGCATGAATTCTATGCTTTTCTGTTACAGAAAGAAAGAAATATAGTAGGCCTTTGTATAAATGTGTGTTTGCCTTCTCTTTGAGACAGTGAAAGCAGAGCTCTTTTATGATGACAACAGATTCATGTCAGAGAAAGGGAAGGAAACTAGATTCACTTTATGTTTAACTTCTTTCATTATTTCTCAGCTCATAGTGCAGATGAGAATGTAATGTATGGGAATTTCTTAATACAGTGTTCCAGGACCTGGAAGGCTCAGTGTGGGGCCTCATGCCAAGGCAGTTAAACCACTTCTGTCTCCATTCTCCAGCCTCTGTAGTGGAAGCTGCCATTTGCAGAGTGGAGTTCATCTCACTTGATGACAGCCATCCAAAGCTGTGTTTCATCTCTGATCTGGCTGTCTCAACTCCCCTTACCAATGGAGAAAAACTGAGATCCCTGGAGAGCAACTCATGCTTTTTTCTCAATTACATGTCTTAACATGGCATAAATCACTTTTTTTGAACTTGCTAGTGTCTACAAATTGACCTTATGCTAGTGCCTAAGTTTCGGGCAGGTTTTTAGATTTTCAGGGTTACTTTTTTGTACGTGCCACAGCTACTCTAATGGAAACACTTAAACGAAAATACTAAAACTTGTTTTAGGTGTCATGCTATAGCAGATGAAAGGCTTACTTTTTGGGTGCATACTACAGTGTTAAATTAGCCACAAACTGCATTGTTCCAGTTTAGAGATAATCTCTCTGGGTTGGAGCTTAAACACACTGTTTCAGTGTTGCTTCAGCACCAGACTCCACTGGAGTACATCTCCTTCTAATTGCTTGCCTGGTTGTACTTGCTGAGGGTCTTCCCATTACTGTAAAGCATGAAGAGTAATCATTAATCATTTAAGCAGAGACATGTCATGTGTCTATACAAAGCTAGGCTTGCTCATTGCAAATGCAAATATTGTTTGCAAGCCAGTGCTTTCAAAAAATGACCTTTAAACAAACAGGTTACATCCATGCGGGTGCCATTGTTTGCAATGGGAAACCCAACAACTATTAAACTTCTATGAGCATCTTATCTGTAGATAATCACATTGGTTTATTTTTAGGAGCAAGTCATGCTGAAGAGAATGTAAATGTGGATTATATTTTTGCATTAATGCTTCAATGAAACAGATAAAGCTGTATATATTTAATATGTTCAAACATACCTTCTGGTCGAAAACCGATTACCATAGGCTAAATATGTGAAATCTGGATGCATAGAATTACTTAGTAAAATTTATATTTCCAGTGTTGAGACAGAAATACGTATTTTTTCTGCTAGAGAATCATGTTCCTTCCTCCTATTTCAGACTACAACTTTACTCTTTATTATTGCTTTTGTTTGTAAAGATAAAGACAACAGTCAGAGCTCATTAAAGTTATATCTAAACTCTCTAGTCTACTGACCACTCACCCATTGGACTTTACCTAACATCCATCAATAATGTGCTTTTTATTTCCAAGACCACCTGTGTTACAGGGGGTTTAAGCTGATTATCAGTATACAGATACATCTGGTGCCACCTGGTGACTGCCAATGAGGCATGTATGTTTCTTTGCATTGTATTTGACTCCTGTTATTCAGTTTGTGAGTGAGGTGTTTTGTGGTATGGGTTAATATAACTAAGGAAAAGGTTATTTTCTCACTTGCATTACGTTTCCTACAATTTTTAGCTGTACCAACTGCCACAGCACGTGTAAGAGAGTGTCCTGGTTTGAGAGAATAACACAAATTAAGGTGAATGAGAAGAGGAAACTTGTCCAAGTACTTTTAAATTACCAGTTCTTCAAAGCCGTATGTCTTGAATTATCTGCCAAATCACTTGTTGCTTACCCTGATGGATAGTTGAATGCCAAATCAAGATGGGAGAAAAGCTGTTCTTTAAAACTATCTGCAGAAAACATTCTTATTTTTTTAAATTGCGTGCAGCATCCACAAATGAGATGGGGGTTAAATAGCATAAAAAAATTAGAATACCTGTATTTAAAACAAAGCATGCTTTCCTGCTTGAGGAATCTCTAGCTGAGTGATTGAAGGCCTTGATATGCATGTATATTCAGGGAAGAGTGCAGCAGAGGTGTAGCTGTCTTCTAAGGATGCTACAAAGCACTTAAGTGAAACTGAAGACTCAGTTATTAAACTTGAATTTGTGTAGCATTGTATTAGCTGACAGACCAGATGCAGGGCATGGGGACCTGACTGCAAAGGCTAGCAAAAACACATGCTAGTGCTTTTATGCTTCCCTGTTCACTATTCAATGTCAATCTTGTGATACTGTGGGTATTTTTATAGGTGGACACCCTAGGGACAGCCTTTTGCAGATGTCTGAAAAAAATTCCTTGCTAGTGCCAGCCTGGCATTTGCAAACATAAGAGAATTGCTAGAGGAAGAAGTTCAGGACAGGGAAGGAAGAAACGATAATGATATGTTCTTGGCTCAGTCCTGTTGTGAGGAGGTCAGTTTGTGTGACAACATTGCTGGGCAAAGAGGGTCATGGGAAGAAGGTGGAAGCTAGCAGTCTTCAGCTTCTGCAGCTTTCCTCCAGTCAGCTGGGAACAAAAAGTTAGCAGACATCAAGGCAGTTTGGGAAGTAAATCTCCTGTATAGCAGATTACTCAGTCTAGGGGTGCTTTGAATGCACAGATCAAACGTTACCCTTGAACTGTCTTCCCCAGAGGTGCTGGTGTCCTCAGTTCTATCCATGTCTTCTGTCCACTGTACAGGCAAGTTTCTCTATGAGGAGGAAAATCTTTCTGCCTGTAGTGTGACAGTTATTTTTGTACATCACC